AGTTTAACTAGGAATGAGCTTGTAGAAATAGAAAACAGCAAGACAAAAAGGAGAATTTGTTCACATCATACTAATTTTAGCCCTATGAGAAAAGGGGTAAGAAGTGTGTAGGGTATTTATTCTACTTGCCCCCTCATGCATTGGAGTAAGAGTTGTATATATGGAGGAGTCTTTGGAGGTAGCAATAAATAAATAAAGTTCATACTGTGTATATTGAAAAATCTGGCAAGGTTGGTGGCTGAGAAGATCTAATGAGAGAAAGCCAGCAGCAAGATGTATCCCCAATGCCTTTCTATAGAAAAAAATCAGAGACTTTGAGGAATTGATTGGAGAATGTCCAGAATATTAGCTTCTTCATCTCTTTAATTTTTAAGGAAGCTCTGGAAAATTCCATTGTGCCTTATAAACTTATAGTGAAAACTATAAGATGTAGTACTATTCTTTGATGTGAGAGTTTGCTAAGGTTTCTGGATAGTTCCATTTAGAATTTCAATGACTTATTTTATTCTAGTTATGTGGCATAAAAATGAACCAGCTACAATGAGTCCATGAGTATTTAACTTAGTCATCTGAATCAGTTAATTTGTCAGTATAAGACAAAACTCCTATTAAATCTTTCCAACCGTCAGTTCAGAATTTCAGGGTATTACAGAATTGTTAAAAGCAAATGTTCGTGTTAAAAAGAGATCTAGGATTGAAATAAATCTCCACCACTTGCTAGCTAAATGACCCAGAGTATGTTCTTTACCTCTGTGTATTTCAGTTTCATAACTGGTAGTCTATACTCATAGGGATAATGTACAGGTTAATACATATAATATACTCACTTGATTTGTATGATGCTTGAGATACAGTAAATATTTAATAACCATTAGCCATTATCTTAATATAAACCTCATATGACTTTGAATATGAGTCTATACCTAATTATGTTCATATAATTTTCAGTATGATAATATGTCTGCTACTGATGACTTTTGCTATCTGCAGTATATTTTTTTGAGTTTTTATTTGTAACAATGTAAGTTTGAAAAGTCTAAGAATGGTAATTGTTTGATATTTGGCAATTTGAAAGTAAATTAAAAAATCTTAAATGGTTCAACATCTGTGGCTAGCACATTGTTTATGATTAGTTTCACAGTGCAGTGATGGTGACTTATTCATTTAGAGACTTTCCAAGACGTGGAAGAAGAGGAAAAGGAGGAAGAAGAAAATTGTAACAGTAAATGATCTTAGATTAACTTGATTTTTTTTTTTTTTTGTCAATTGTAAGGCTTGAACTCTGGGCCTGGGTGCTGACTCTGAGCTCTTCAGCTCAAGGCAGATACTCTACCACTTGAGCCATAGTGCCAGTGATTTGTTGAATTTTTATGATCCAGTGGCCATTATGCTGCTACTGGAGCACAATATTCTAAATAATTTGTGTTGGAAGTGGGGAGCAACACATACAAAGCAGAAACTCAGAGGGCCAGATTTAAGAGGGCATCAAAGATTCTTAGGACACATATTTTTGCTGCTTTAATTTCAGTGGCTATTCTAGCTTGAAATGGTATTATTGAAGATAAGCCTGATGACACTTGCTCTAGTAGTTGAAGATGCTAATTAGTATCATGCCTACAGAATGTGAGACAATATTAAGGCTACAATTTTAAAACACTTGGACCAGTAGAGTAATTCATTTAAATTTGGCTCAGTGAAAATTTTATCATGGTAAACCAGACTATTATAAATGAAAATTTATGACTGTAATTTCACATTAATGCTCTAGGACTGTAAAAGAGTATTCATCTACTTAAAATACATACTTTACCTCTTGGTTGGTTATTGGTTCGTGTTTGAGCTAAGAAAGAATTTCAGGGAGGCAGGTAGAGAATGGCCTACCAGCCCAGTATAAAATTTACCTGTTATTCAATGTTAGGTGGACATCGTATGAGGATCATTCCCTCCACTTTCACATATTTGTGTTTGTATATGTGAGTTCGAATTTTTTGGCTATTTTATGAGAAAATTTAAAACTGCATTTTTTATTGCCCCAGATCTTAAAAAATAATCTGTTTCAGCACAAACAAGGTACTCAATTTTGATCAGATAGCAAAAAGTAGAAAGGGGAAAAATATCAGTAGTTTTTTTTTATGTTTGGTTTTTAATCTAAAAAAAGACAGAGAACAGTTATACTTTCTGAATATTTACTATATACTTAAAGTGGTAAATACAAAGAAGTAAATTCATGTGTATGTTCTCACTTTTTTATTACTAGGGAGTACATGATTTTAAAACATGGAAACTGTTTGTATAAATAACTACTATATAACTGAACTTGCCATATAATTTGAGTGTTCACTTTTTCTTTGGGGTTTGTGTTTAAAGAAGACCATATTATATATGCTTTGTTGTGTAAAGTAGATTTTAGAAGGGTTTGGAAGGAAAAGTGTGAGAGTTGAGTCATCACATATGGTAGAACTGGCTTGCCATACTATAAGATTAGCATGTTCTTTCATGGATTGGTTATATTTTGGGGATTTATCTTAATTTTAATAAGATGAAAAACAACTTGTTATTTATAGGAATGTAGAATTCTTTATGTTTTCAGTCTAAATTTTTTTTGTATTGAATCCAGCAGTTGTGCTTAATTTATTACCAAAAAGTGCAGATTCAAATAACTACCTTGATGTTAATCTTATAGTCAAGTGAAAAAGACATGTTAGGAGTCAGTGAGATCTCCCAATAGGCATTCAAGGAATGTTTTTGGTAAAAGCTTATGTAAATACCAGGTCTGAATTCTTGAATAGTATACAGATGCTGAAAATTATTAATTGAATATTGTACAGTATACTTTTTAAACATTTTCTATATCACTGAATTATATTTGTAGTGTCTATGTCAAAAGAAAGAAAAAATAAAAGTAGAACCAGACCAGAAGCTCTTCTGTCAAGTATAATAGCACTCAATTAGTTTTAACAAAATAACATGATCCTCCAAATGGTATTGGGTTTTTAGAGGATCTCTGGTTTTATAGTTTTGTTAGAATGTAATTTATAATTTGGGAACTCTCATCCTAAGTAGTTTATTTTCATGTAAATATTTAAGTATCATTATTCCAAAAATTTAACATGGGGAGCAGGTGAGAATTTAAGTTCTCAGAAGCTGATTAGAGTAGTTCTCTGAACCTAGTTAGAATTACACTTATAAATCTTTGACATCTGTTTCTGACACGATTCTCATTTGTCTACCTTATTACAAATATAATCACTTTATAATATAGTGACTATATTTAATCAAACATCGTTGTATGTATTCTGAGGGCCAAAACTACTTGTAAAAAGGTTGATGATATGATTTTAAGATAAAATTATTACTTCTTTATGACTGATAGACATTGGCCATAAGGAACACTTATTTTTATCTTGAAATTTGTGTATCTGTTCAATCTTACTTAACTAAAAGTTATGACTGGTGATTTATAGGTTAATATAAATTAATGATCGCCTTAAGTTATTAAAAAAGAGGAGAAAAAGTATTTTTAATTTTATGAAGAATGACTTTCACTGTTCTGTGAGTATGAATCAGTAACAGCTAAAGATCTGATATTTGAATGTGGCAGGACTGTAACATTTTCAAAGTAGAAATCTAGCCAATTTTTAAGAAAAAAATCAATGTTTCAATTTTGAACTTAAAGTGTATCTGGAACATATGCAGAACATTTTCTTCTTGGTGTCTCCTGCCAAACTTATTATGTATGCCACAATAATTTTCTCTTATGTTTGGGAAGCTCAAGTGTATGGCAGAATAAAGAATTTCTTAATCTATAGTTACTAGTTTTAATGGTAGAATCAAGATAAGAAGTATTTGAGAGACATTTTAAAATTCCTTGCTAAAAAATTTTATGTAGGGCTAGGAGTATGGCTCAAGTAATATAAAGCCTGCCTGGCAAATGGGAAGCTCTGAGATGAAATTCCAGTACTTCCCCCTCTAAAAAAATTATATGTAAAAATGGAGAGTTTTATTCATTTAATTTATTAAGTACCTACCATATGCAAGACTTTCTTACTAAGCCTGAATGACAGGCTTAGTAAGATGATGAGGACTGATAAATCTCCATCTTCTAAGAGCTTATATTCTCATGGAATGATGGTGGGAGATGATAATTTTAGATTCCTAAATATCCTGCAGAAAATAAAACACCTAATGAGCTAATGAGTACCTTGCCTGAGATTGGAATGATTTGATGATTTGTTTGGAGTGAAGTCTTATTGGTCAGTTGTTGTAAAGTAGGAAAATCATTCCATATTTCTGAAAAAGAAAGGCTAGTGTAAAAAAGGAGGAGCATGAGTGAGATGATAATAATAATAGTGAATGTTGAGTGGTAGAGATTGGAGTTGGGGAGACAGAAACCAGATCAAATCAGCCTCTTGGACTATATAGGCAGTTTTGATTGTATTCCTATTGGGGGTTCTTTGGATGTCTATACATGAGAAGGTTTTAACTTACTTGAGCAAGTTTACTCTGAAGGCTAAAAAGATAATGGAGCAGGAAGCTGGTAGCAAGATGGAGTGAAGCTTGTGAGGAGTGGTGTGAGTCTAGCTGTATACCTGTGCTACACTAATTGCACATGCTGATAACTTGTATGTTTTTCTACTTGTTCATTTGGAGTGTGAAAATTAAGTTCTCTGAAATAATATATATTAAAGTAGACTCTATAAGACATGAGAATGTTAAACATGACATAAAGTATACTGTTGGGGAAAATATTAAGTTAGTAAATTCAAGTTTTGTGGATAAGTTCATGCTACATTGCCCATTTTCTGCTTTAAAATTTATACTAGTAATAACCACTAAAATATGAAAAAATGATTAAGACCTCTTTAACTATATAGTTGCAAATTAGTTACTGCTTTGTGAGGAAAAATCTGAACATAATTGCTACCTGATATAAATAAACTTTATAGGTTTAATGTTTTAGTTTTATTTAATGATTCTATCTGCTGGGAATTTTTTTCTAGTCACATTGTCTTGATGCTTGCTGATGATATGGCATGCAATGCTAGAAATCCTAAACCAGCTACTGTGTTTAGTCACAAGAACATGGAACTGAACGTGTATGGAGATGATGTAGAAGTGGATTATAGAAGTTATGAGGTAATTTGTTTAATCTAACAACTTTTTGGAAATGCTATCACTTTTAAGCTCTAAAACAGTGGGATAATATTGTTAATTATTTTTCTTAAAGTTCAGTACATAATTGTCACTGAGTCTTGCTGTAATTTTTCTCTAAAAGTCCTGTCAGGGACATGATACATGAGTAAAATTCTTAAAGCATGAAGATTTCATCTATGTAGCTAAGATAGAAAAAATTTACATTGCTTTCTATATTAGAGATTTTAGTGGAGTTCATATGTTAACTTTTTCTTACAGGAAATTTTTTCATATTTGTTTTTCATATTTGGTCTAAAGCTAGAAATTTAATATTTTTAATAAAATAATAAACATTTTTAGAAAAACTAGTAACAAAAAGTTAACCCATGTTTCTAATTAAACATTAAACTTCTTTTAATATACTTTTACTCATTTATGTACATATAATTAAAGTAAAAATGTCATTATATTTGCATTGAAACTAATTTTAAAATTTAATACATCATGATTGTGCTTAAAATTTGAAGACATAGTGCATTATATATCTTACACCTACATAGTATCTATAGTTATTATAGACACTTATAAATGTTTAATGAGTTAAATGTGTATAAATGTTTTACCTTTTACTTATTTATGTAATCGCTACAGAATATAGACCAAAATCCCTACCCCCTTGTTTGTCAACAAGTGGTAGTACTGTTAGTATTATTAGGAATACTGATGGCTTATGCCTGGAAACCTAGCTACTGAGGAGGCTGAGATCCAGAGGATCATAGTTTGAAGCCAGCCTGAGCAGAAAACTCTGAGATTCTGTCTCCAAAATATCTAGCAAAAGCTGAGCTGGTGGTATTGCTCAAGTAGTAGAACGCTAGCTGAGCAAGCAAGCTGAGTGAGTACAAGACTCTGAGTTGAACCCTAGTACTGTATGTATGTGTATATATAAGTGTGTGTATATAAATGTCTATATACATAATTATGTATATACATACACATATATATGCAAAATGTAAATTAATGGACTTAAACACAAATTTATACACTGTGATCTAGGAAAATGTCTTAAAAGAAAGCTAAATAGATTTGCTTATTTTTAATGTCAGATTATACATTATCTATGTCTTAGCTGTTTAAATATTTTATTCTCTATAATTTAAAATATGCCTTCAAAGTATACCAGAAGGCTGGAAATTCCAGATTGGGAAATTTGGCTTAAAGTGTTATGAATTTTTTTACATGTTAAAGATACTCCAAAAGAAATCTAACACAATGCATTCAAAAATCAACTATATATATTTATGGAGATTATTTATGGAACTGTTCTCTTTCATGATTAATCTATAATTAAGTAGTTATCTAGTAAGCTGTTATAATGTAACTGGATTTATTTATAAATTTTTATATTTTATGTCTTCCTAAAGAATTGGCTATGCAAACATGTTCATAATTTTACTTTTTAAGCTTTTGAGTACTTCTATATTTTGCATAACATTTAAAGTTTTAAATGTAAGAATAACATTTTTCCCCCTAAATAGTTTTTGCTTTGTTCTCTCTGTGACTCTGCCTCTGTTTCTGTCTCTTTGCCTTTTCTCTCTTTCCTATCCAAATTTATAATCCTCTTTTCCTTTCTGAGTGTTAGGATTACAGGTGTGCACCCCATGTCCAGAGAGATTTTAGTATTTTTAAAAATAGACATAAAGTTACTTAGATTTTTTTGTATGTTTTTCAATAGTAAAAATGTTGTACAGGTGGTTACAGTTACATGATCAAGGTAATGAGTTCATTTCCTATTGAGCTTTGTTACCTCCTCCTTTGTTTACCCCCTACCATTCCTTTCCTCCCACCTCCACAACTGCACAGTTACTTAGATTTTTATGTTTAAGTAAATGTATTTCAATTGAGCTATAATTCTTTTTGTGCTTTATTTTTAGTTTTTGCTGAGTAATTCCTAGAGAAACGAGGAGTAATGATCTTGAAAGTAATAAAAATAAATTTTGTTATTTTTTAGGTTCTATTTTACCTGATATCTCTTAATTTTTTCAGGTAACTGTGGAGAATTTTTTGCGGGTATTAACTGGTAGGATCCCACCTAGTACTCCTCGGTCAAAACGTCTTCTTTCTGATGATAGAAGCAATATACTTATTTATATGACAGGTAATTTTAGCATGTAGATAATGCATAATATACTTTTGAAACTCCAAGGCAACTCACAAGGGGAGCTACTTAAATGCATTAGTGATTTCACCTTCAAAGAGTTTATTCTGTAGTTATGGATTGTCATGATCTAGCATTATTTGAAATGATATATGAAAATGTAGATTGAACATTTTAAATCTGAAATGCTACAAAATCTGAAACTTTTTTTGGCACCAATATGGATGACAACATCGGAAAATTTCATACCTAGCATTGTAGAAAAGATAACAAAATAGAGATGCACTGAAAATAATAGTGTAAGATCATGTTTAGGTTCTGTGGTTCAAGTATACATAAGACAGAAATTTATGTTTACACTTGGGTTTTATTCCCATGGTATCTGGGTATGTAGAAATAAATGTAAAACCTGAAAAGTCTGATACTGAACCACTTATAATCTCAAGCATTAGCGATAAGGAATCCTTTACCTTGTAACATCTTGTGCTAGTTCATGATTTCTTATCTCTATGCTTTATACTATTGCATGTTAATTATTTTTTCCTTATTGTCTTGGTATAGTGTCTCTGACTTCAGTTTTATTTTATTCTCTCAGCTGCTCAAATCTTTATAATGATCTTCCATTAATATATTCTCAAAGCTTATTGTGCAAAAGGATTAACGGTGTGGATGATTAGACCTTATCCTGAAACTTACTCAGTTTTGGTCTAGGGTGAGGCTTATGAAAATTATGTTGTGGGCATATTTCTCAAATATGAGATGGAAATATAGTCATCTTTTAATTATACTTTGAGGAATATTGGAAATAAACCACTCCATAATAAAATTTAGTTAAATATTATGCATAGTTTGTTATGATTTTATTATATTATGCAGCCTTAATTCTTGCATTTCTTTTTCTAATAGGTACTTCACTGTTCTGTCCTCTCAAACATGTCATTACACCATTGCCTTTGCTTATGATGGCTTTCAGTTCACTTTGCCTGCCTGATTACTCCTTATTTTTTAGGGTTAGCTCAGGAGTTTCTTCCTTCAGAGATTTCCTAAGTCTGAGGTGACCTATGTCTCCAGTTACCTGGAACACGTCCTAGTGTACATCTGTTGTCTTAATGTAATTATTAATGGCCCTTCTTTTTACCTCAGAAGTATCCAAAGACACTTCTAGTTTTCTTAACAAGTATAGGCACTGCATTCCTCTTTACACTCTCATGTTAAATCTTCAGTTTCTCACATAGCATTTATTTCATTGCTTTCTTATTTAAGTGGCTATTTTCTGTACTGTATTTGAATTCAAAGATATTGCTGACTATATATTTTTTATCAAGAGTGTGTGTTATAGTACCTAAATATAAATATTGATCAAAAGATGTTGAATACATTTCTCAGAGGTTTTCTATTCAACTGATAATAAAACGGTATAAAATAATTCTTAGATATCACGTAGCAGAACAGTTAATATCCCAATGTAGTAGGTTTTCTTTATAATATTAATTTACAACTGTTTAAATTCTTTTTAGTATATATTTTTATTATAAAGATACTGTACAGAAGGGTTACAGTACAACTGTCTAAATTCTAATTTTTTAATTTATATACTTTATTGACAGTACAGTCAATGAAGTCAGGAAAAATTTTGTTTTACCTTATCTAAACATTATAAAAAAAGTAATATACTTTTTGACAAGAAAAATAAACTGCAGTTTTGTAGCCTAGTTAAGGTACTATAGGCTTTACATTATTTTTATACTTACATTTTTATTTTTATACTTCTATTTGTACTCCTTCAGAGTAAATCTAGGCATAGAAGAAATCCCAGTCATTTTAAGATAGGGCTTAATAAATAAATTATTATCTTACGCTGACTACCTGTTTTAGAAGTAAAGGTTTTGTGTGTGTGTGTGTGGTGTGTGTGTGTGTGTGTGTGTGTGTGTGTGTGTGTGTGTGTGTGTGTGTGTGTGTGTGTGTGTGTGTGTGTGTGTGTGGTGTGTGTTCTAGGGCATAGTTGAATGCATTTTTTACCTATTGTCTTTGGCTACTCTAGTGGCAGAGTCCAGCAGCTGTGACCTAGCCCACATGACTTGCCACCCTAAAACATTTGTTATCTGATCCTCTACAGAAAAGGGTTCCGAACTTCTGTGAGGCCATAGAAAGGCTGATTATAATATGATAATGAAAATAGCTTACAGTTATTGAAGCACTGTTCTGAATTATTAAGAATTATTATTACCTCATTCATCCTCACAGCAGTCTGATGAGGGTGACACCCAGGGCTACTGCATATAGTTGTCTCTAAATGTAGGAAGAACATATTATGTTTTTTCCCTACAAAGGAACAATCACTAGCCACATGTGATCTTACAAGGCTGCATGTATCCAAAGGAAGATATGAAGCGTTTTTTGTTAACTTTGTTGCCCAATGGAAAAATGTCTTTAAAATAATCTGTGCAAAAGAGCTACATATATAAGTAAGCTTGTGATGGCCTGGCTGATATTTTTCTTACTTTATGGCTGAAGAAAATGAGCCATAGTTTCATTTTCGTAAAAGAATAGTAAGGTGCACAGTGTTTGAATCCAGATAGACTTCCTCTTTTGTGAATACTAAATATGTGTCACAATCTTCTGACTAGCCCTCATGGAACCATGGGCAATGATCATGAATCACATTAATTGTTGAGAGAGACCTGCACTTCCTAGAACTAATAGCATACTAAATATACGCTAAGTGGTGCTAGCATACCAAGGTGCCAGCTGGTGTTTTCAGCTCATTTTTCACCAAAAATGTTTGCCTGATTTTTGACTTACTAAAAAGGTAGAATAAAATTTTAACATAATAAGAGTCAGTGAAAGAGTATATGAATGTGGTTGAATCATAGAAATACTTGAATTATAGAAAACCTCTAAGGGAGCCAGATACCAGTGCTCATGCCTGTAATCCTAGTATTCGGGAGGCTGAGAATGGGAGGACTGTGGGTCTATTCCAACCAGGGCAGAATCTGTAAGACTATCACTGGAGAAAGCTGGTGGCACACACCTAGCTATGGCAGACAGTCTGCAGGAACAAGATTATGTTCTAGGTACATTTCTGCAGGAATCAAGACTCTTGTCTCAAAAATGATGACTCCAAAAAGGGCCTGGAGGCATGACTCAGTGGTAGAGTGCCAGCTTAGCAAGTATGAAGCCCTGAGTTCAAACCCCAGTATTGAAAACAAACACTCTTAAAGAGACTGAGGGCATGGCTAAAGTGAGAGCACCACCTGCCTGATAAGTACAGACCCCGAGTTAAAAATCAAAAACAAATTTAGATTTAAAAATTTTTCACTTTTACTTTTGGTGGTGGTATTGGGGTTTGGACTCAGTCATTGTATTTGCTTGTCAGGTACACAACTATTTGGGCTCTTCTTCCAGCCCTTTCTTGATTTAGTGGGCTCTTCCTCCAGCCCTTTCTTGATTTAGTGTTTTTCAATGGAGTTTTGATATCTTGATATTTTCCCAGAGCCAGTATCAGAACAGGATTTTTCTACTGGTGCCTCCTGAATAGCTGGGAAAATAGTTGTATACCACATATCTGGCTTATTGGTTGCGATGGGGTCTTGCTAACCTTTCTGGGCTGGCTTCAAAGTGATCTTCCCGATCTTCTCATTCTGAATGCACGTGTGAACACTGCACCCAAGCCCTTTATGTATTATTTTTTAGATACTATGCTTATTCTCTTTTTAATTGATAAGATAAGCAATTATATTTATTTGTATTTGCCATCCATATTTTAGCATATAAAGAATAATTGTATTGAAATATTGCAACAAATTTAAGTAAATGGATGCATAACTATTAAATTTATATTGTAAAAATATATGTGCTTTATCTTTTTGCTCTTCTTACAAGGTCATGGGGGAAATGGTTTCCTGAAATTCCAAGATTCTGAAGAAATTACCAACATAGAACTTGCAGATGCTTTTGAACAGATGTGGCAGAAAAGACGGTAATCAGCCAGTGATTCCTTTCATAAATTAATACCAAAGTTTTCCATGATAGATTTTTTAGTTCTTATTTTACAAGATTTTGATTTACTTTAATCATTTTTTTCTAGCCTTTTAAATTTATAGTTAATATTTCCATTGAACTGACTTTTTAAAAGGAAACTTCAGTTATTACATAACATGAAAAACATCATTGACCTGTAGGATCACATCTCTTGTTCTTTAGCATCATTTTTTTAATTAAGAAGAAATAATCCCTCTAACCAAATGTCCTCTTATTTGTGGAGATTCTGAATATCTATTTGATTTTCAACTTATCCCCAGTCTTACTTTCTATGACATTCTCTGATTCCCGGGAAGATAACATAATCCTGTTTATTGGATAGAGTGGTTTAATATTCTGTTTTATTTTCTGGGAGCAATGTTGTTTAGCCCTAGTATGGAGGAAAATCTATCTCCTTCTACTTTCCTCTCAACAGCTAACCATCTTATAAAATAGATCTGATTGTACTATTATTTCACCAAAATAAACAAGTATAAGTACACTTTCTCTTTATACACTTGGGTAACTTCCTCAAGTTTAAAAGATTCAAAATTCAAATGAAATCTTTATAAATCAAACCCTACCTTACCCTTTGAAATCAACTCCTCTCTGTTCTCCCAAATTTACTCCAGAGTAAATTTAGAACTACTTTTTCCTTAGCTGGCATGTAGTTTTATTTTTTTCTGTGAGATAATTTAATCACCTTTATTGTCTGTATCAGATACCATCACCTGACCTGTTTCTCTTTGTGTTTCTCTTATTCCTCTGTCAGGGCTCAGAATCCTTTGACTTTGTTACATCCTCAGCTCTGTGGAAGCAGAAATTTTCTGTCTTATTTTATATAGTATACACACACACACACACACACACACACACACACACACATAGTATATATACATATATACAATATAGATAGTATGCATATATACAGTATATATACTATATACATTATATAGTATATGTATGCATACACACATATATACACAAATGTTATATGTGAATAATACACATTTTAAATATAGGATATATATTAAAATAAATACTGAAATGTTTTTTATAGTATAGTTTTTATAGATGTGTATTTTTGTGGGTACTGGCATTTGAACTCAGGGCTTCAAACTTTCAGCTTGTGTGAACTGGTACTTTAGCACTTGAGCCATACTTCTAGTAGGTAATTTTGCTGGTTAATTGGAGATGGAGACTTTTGGACTTTTCTGCCTGGCCTGGATTCAAACTCATCTTTCAGAGCTCAGCCTTCTGAGAAACTAGGATTATAAGCATGAGCAACTAACAACCAGCTTTTTTGTTCATTTCTGTTTTTTTGAGACAGAGTGTTATTATGGGTGGTCTTGAGATTATAATTCTTCTTCTGTAGCTTCCTCAGAAGTTGGGATTACAGATGTGATCCACCAAACCTGGTTCTCAATAAATTAAAATGTATTAAAATTTAGTTATATGTTTGTTTGTCTTCCAGTTATAGTTAGTTGAGTATGATAACTAAGTCACATATATATACAAACACAGATGTGCATAAGTGTATATATACATATGTATATATATGTTTGTGAATCTAGCTCAGTTTCCAGTTCAACGTAACTGTCAAGTAGTTGTTAAGCTGAACATTTGTTTGAATCATATGGCAGTAGTTCAGGAAGAAGACAAAGTTGAGGCAGCTACTTCGTGGCACAATCACTACTCCTTGTTTGGGTGGTTTTTCGAGACAGGATGAGTATTTTAACTTTTAGCTAATAAAATGGCTAAGATGATATCTTACGTTCTAAAAGTATTATAGAAATATTTGTATATGGTAGACAGCATGACTCACTCAAAGATATCATTACTTTCCTTTCAGCTATAATGAACTACTGTTTATTATTGACACTTGCCAAGGAGCATCAATGTATGAACGATTTTATTCTCCTAACATAATGGCTCTAGCTAGTAGCCAAGTGGGAGAAGACTCACTTTCGGTAGGTGTATCTCCCAGTTTGTAAACTCCAATGTCTTTGGAATGTATAATTATTTCATCAATGACTTACATGCTTTGTGAATGTATCTGCCATTTCTTATTCTTAGACTTTAAATATAAGAGTTAACTTTGGTTTTGTCTTAAACATTTTGTTATAATGGTACAGATATGTGCTAATTTTTCTTTGTTTTCACAGCATCAACCTGATCCTGCAATTGGAGTCCATCTTATGGATAGGTACACATTTTACGTCTTGGAATTTTTGGAAGAAATTATTCCATCTAGCCAAAATAACATGCATGACCTTGTAAGTATTTCCTTGGTTTGATTAGAACACATTAGTACAGTAATCTTAATGTGGTATGTGATTATGCATATATCAATCTAATAAGATTGTGCCTCCTCCAGAATCTCCCTGGAATTTATTTTACCTTTTCAAAGTTTCCATAACTTTTCTTTTGTAACATTTATCACAGTTGGCCTTTTATTGACCTTACTAATTGAGTGGAATTCTTTCAAATTTAATTGGAAGTTTCTGGAAAAAAGAAAGACCTTATATATTTTTATGTACTCTACCCCTTGTCATATAGTCTCTTATTTATTTATTTATTTATTTATTTTTTATTGTGAAAATACTGTACAGAGGGGTTACAATTAATGGGCAAGATAGTACATTTCTTATCAAGCATTGTAGCCTCCTCCTTTGTTTACCCTTCCCATCCCTTCCCAGCCTCCCCCCGCCCTCCCACCCAATTAATATAGTCTTTTTAACATGCCTGTTGAACTTAATTTTTTTCTTCTGATTTGTTCTGGGTTGGTTATATTTTTACATTATATCAGCTTTGAAGTTGCTGTTGAAAATAGCCCTAATAAAAAGCTTGAAACAGATCTCACCTGGATAATTGCTGTCTGTCAATGATTTTCACTGTTTTTCTATTAACTTATGGCTTGTTCATTTATTCACAAACATTTGTTCTTTTTTATTTCTTATTTTTTGTTTTATTTTAGCTTGATGTCTGCTTTGTAGCACAGGCTGGCCTAGAACTCACCATCTTCCTTCCTGTGCCTTCCAAATGCTGTGAAATTATATTGGAAAAAATGAGGGAACCATTTTTGAACTTGATTATAGAATACCTTACTTATATCTTATCTTTTCACATCCATTAAAATTTTTTTCTAATGACTATATTAATTTTTTTCAATAATAGTGATCCACTGTTTTGCAGCTTACTATAGGTACAGTGATTTGATATATCTCTAGAATGTCTATAATAACACTTGTTTTCTGTTAAAAATGTATAGTAATATTATAGTAATATTTGTTGGGTACTAGTTGTGTACTGTATTAAGGTACTTTGGTAACAGCAGAAGTAGAAGCCCTAGTTACTAGCTCCTTAAGGTATAGAGTATCATTGGTAACCATTGAAAGAGATATTTATAAATTGTTCCCTGTTATATGAAGTCTTCCTGGACCCTTCAGATAATCTCTTTGAAAGTGACATATACCTCTCTTTTGCTTTCAATATTAAACTGTAATTGTTTACATCCATGATGTTTCCCTCAAGGATCTAAGTTTCTTAATTAAGAGTTGTAAAAGACTGTGCTTTATATGTTTTCTGTATCTGTACAGCTCAATTGTAAAGTACTTGGTATATTTGTAGATGCTCACTGAACATTTATATGCTAAGGGATAACAGCAATTTGTATAACACACATTTGTGTAATACTTTCTTTAAATATTATAAGGTTAATGAGGTAACCTCTTTAGATTGAGAGACTATAATGTATTTGTTGACTTAATGACAGTTGTATGTATGCTTATGTATATATATTCACTATTGTTACTTGTTTTTCCAGTTTCAAGTATGTCCCAAAAGTCTCTGCGTATCTACTCCAGGACATCGTATTGATCTTTTTCAAAGGAATCCTAAAAGTGTCCTAATAACTGATTTCTTTGGAAGTGTACGGAAAGTGGAAATTACAACAGAGACTATTCGTTTGAAACGGGATTCAGAGATCTTGGAAAGCAGGTATTCCTATTAATATTTCAATAGAGTTTACTCTCAAAATTATAAAGATTTATGAAAACTTAAGAGATTAAAATTAGTGTTTATAAGTAGTTTCACATTCTATCCAGTCCTTACTGTGAACAAAAGCTGTAAATACTGATGGGAGGCGAGGGTTATGATTATAGATTATGTTGGTGTTCCAAAATTGAGTAATGGTTGTAGTGGACTTGAGAGTTGTTAAAAAGGCATCAAATTTCCTACAGTTCTTCACAGAGATATATATTTCTGTTGAGGCTCTTGGTAACACAGTAGGTAAAGATAGGAGAGATGTGTGTCAATCACTCACTTCTGGAGGAGTGGATTGTGTGTCAGCAATGTGTGCATACATGTTCATCTAAGAGAGCTTGAGAGAAATTGGTTGACTGGGTATGTGAAACAGTTTAAATATAATGCTTAAGGTTAGTCCTACATATCTTGCCATATTCATTTTATAATTTTCCTTAAGTCTAAGGCTATAAAAGATCATATATACCTTTCTTTAATTATCTTAACATTTAATTAATTTTCTTAATAGTTGAAAACTGGCATATTACTTATTCTGTGCTAAGTTTCTATTCTCTCAACAAATGATGTTTATATAGTAGTAAGTAGATACTAGAAATGATTTCAGTGCAATTCTACTGAGTTTTGCTACATATTCTGGAAGAATAGAATTTTACCTCTTTAATTTTTTGTGTATTTTGTGAATGCAAAAGTGGTTAATGCTGAAGGTTATTTTAATTTATCTTTGAGTAGAAAATAAAGTTTAAACTTAGTTTCTCAGCATTGCTGAAATGGAGCACCCTCTAGTGTTTATATATAAAATTTTTTTTTAGGATGTTGCTCCTTACCAAGTGGTTTCATAATTACTAGTACAAACTGGGCTTGCTGGTGTGTGCCTATACTAGCTACTCAGGAGGCTCAGTCAGGAAGATTGCTTGTGCCCAGGAGTTAGGTATCAATGTAGACAACATAGACCCCATTTTTAAAGCAAAACAGTTACTCATCTGCTTTATTGAATTAATTTGTGAGAATTGAGTTTCTATTGTGCTCTGAAAATTTTGAAACATATCTCATTGCATAGAGGTCTACATACATATAGGTACTACAAACATATATCATTGCATATAGGTGCTCCTTGGATGTAGTATAAAAACTAGAAGTTTATTTAGATGAGATCATTGTATTCAGGATGTAGATGGGAATTTTATTTAGAGAAAAATGTCACCAATAATTTGGTATCAGAAAGTTTCTTAAGAAAATTATAGGTTAGAATATCTATATGTCTATATCTATATCTATATCTATGTATATATCAAACCTTAGGTAAAGTATCAATACAATGTTAATAAAACTGATAATTATAGTTTTAGAAATGTTTCTATATAGACTAAAGGAAACAGTGTAGTTCATTGGTTCAGGTCTACTCTTCTGATATTTTGTGTCTTAGTCTAGTAGTTTAGTGTACATCACTAATAAGATATAATGAAAAACTAGTACCTAGAACTGACCTGGAGTAGCAGTATGAAATAAGAATTTTTTTGTCTTTTCTGAATTAAAGGTAATTAAAGGTTTACTTATTTATTTATTTTTGCTGGTCCTAGGGCTTGAACTCAGGGCCTTGACTATCCCTGAGCTATTGTGCTCAAGGCTAGTGCTCTATCACTTAAGCCATAGCTATACTTCTGTCTTTTTGTGGTTAGTTGAAAAAAAAGCCTCATGGACATTCCTACCCAGGCTGGCTTCAAACCACAGTCCTCAGATCTCAGCCTTCTGAATAGCTAGCTAGGTTACAGGTGTATGCCATTGGCACTCAGGCTCTGAGTATTAAAGTTTTAGTAAAGGCAATAGTCCAATGCTACATTGAACATGAAATACAGATATCTCTTTGACACACATTTAATTTCCTTCAAATATATACCCAGAAGTGAGATCACTGGATATGGTAATGCTGTTTTAATTTTTTGAGAGTCTTGCACACTATTTTCTATAATAGCTGTTCTAATGATTTTCCTTTTAAAACTTGTCAACATATCTCTTTAATTTGTCTTGCTTTGATGATTGTGTTGTTAAACATTGTTTTCATATATCTGTTAACCTAATTATGTCTCTTTTTCTATAGATATTTCATTCATTTTCAATTTTTTTCCAAAATTGATTGTTTCAAATAACTACTAAGTTGAATTGCTTATTTTGGATTTTAACCCTTTATCATCATATATTTATGGTTTATGGATATATTCATCTATTTTGTAGATTGTTTTTTCACTGTTGATTGTTTCTTTGGTTGTGCAGAAACTGTTTATTTTTACTTTCATTGCATTTGTGGCCATATCATTGCCAAAACCACTGTCAGGAAGCTACTTTCCCATGTTTTTATCTAATAGTTTTGTAGTTTCAGATTTTTTTTTTATTGTGAAAATACCGTACAGAGGGGTTACAATTACATGGGCAAGATAATGAGTACATTTCTTATCAAGCATTGTTGCCTCCTCCTTTGTTTCCCCTTCCCATCCCTTCCCATACCCTTCCCCCTCCACCTGGTCCTCCCCCCCCCCCCCCCCTCACCAAAGTTGTAAAGTTGGTTTTCGACATAACGACTTGTACATCTCATTGTTGCAATGGGTCCACCTGTATCCCTATTTAAACGATTTGTTTTTTCCCTTCCCCTCCACAAATTATACCAACATCAAATACAGTGAAAGCAGGGGTTATACCATGGGGGAGGGACATACAAAGCAACAAAGAAATCATGTTATAAATATGTTAGAAACAATTGCATGAAAGAAAAAAAAAACATTTGAATTCTTATCTTGGGGTTCATTTCCCTAACATCAACTTATCTGACCTTTTCTGCTTGACTCAGGTTTTTTTTTAATGCTGGTCCTGGGGCTTGACCTCACAGCCTAGGCACTCACTGTCCCTGTGCTTTCTTTTGCTCAAGGCTGGCACTATGCCACTTGAGCCACATCTCCACTTCCAGCTTTTTTAATAATTGGAGGTAAACGACCTGGGTTGGCTTCAAACAGATACGACAAGTTTTTTCTAAGGTATACATTTTTCTACTCTTTCATTTTCTTCAAGATATCTTTTGAAGAGTAGATTTAATGTTGATGGATTTCATCGATCAATTTTTCTTTATCTTTAGTGTTCTTTGTTCAAGAAATTTTTGCCTAACCTAAAGTCAGAAAGATTTTCTTTTGGAAAATCTTTATAGCTTTAACTTTTACTTTTGGCCTCTATTTTGAATTAATTTTTGAGTTTGATATGAGGTAGGGTTTGAAATTTTATTTCTGAATCAACTTGTCTGTTTCTTAAAGAATCTCAGTAGGAATACTTACTGGGATTTCAATTAAGATTAAATTGGTTATATCAACTTGGAGACTATGGATAACCTAATAATATAGGGTTCTCCAATCCATAGATAGATCTCAACAGTTATTTAGATATTAATTTTCCATTTGTTTGTTGCTCAAATTTAGAAGTAGAATTGATTTTTTTAAATCATTTTGTATTTTGAGATCTTATTGATTCTGATGTTGGTAAATCAAATCCCATTGTAAACTTTTATTTTTTTAAGTGGCAATTGATTCACAGGCTGGTTGCAAAGTTGATATGGAAATATGAAGGACCTACTATTAATGTATTAATTCATTGAATGCATGGATTCCAGTACATTTTTGCTTACTTAGGAAATGAAATCAGAAGTTAATTGTACACAAGTTCAACAAGAAATGTACTCACTACCTTCCGTATGTAACTATAACCCCTCTGAATATCACCTTGACAATAAACTTAAATTTAAAAAAGTTAACAGTAGATATTATAAAAACTGCTCAGAGTTGGATAAAATTGATTGTGAATAATATCACATTATTCAGTGAAAATTACTCATACTAAAATATAAGATTGTAAACTTCATGAAGCAAAAAATCAAGATAGCAAAACTAATAGTTGACAGGATTTCCCTCTTTTCCTTATACTACTATATTTTTCAAAGTGATTAATTCTAACCATCAATCACTATAATTCTGTATTATCTTTAACACTTTATTATTCATTTATTTTATGTTACTTATGGCCATTTATCACTTCATTTAGGGTTTCTTTATAATGGAACTTCAGGAATTTAGAAGTAGCTCATTTGATTTATAGATATGTTAACTGATAAGTAATTTATCTAATTTGTCCTTTTTGCATACATATAAAGTATTTAATACATATAAAATATTTAATATATACCTTATAAAGTATTGAGCATTTTGTATTTTTAGCTTAATTTTCTATAATTAATTAAAAAACAAACTCTGAGATGCCTTATGATTTTTAAGAAATCAGTGTATATAAATGGTATAACATAACATGATAGTGTATCTCTTTGTAGAAATAAATCATCTCCAAATATAAGTTGGTAAATATTATGCTTATCAGGAATAATACTTTCCAACTAATGCTTATCAGCCTTTCCAGATTTATTAATTAAAGAAAATTAACTTAAATACTAAATAATATAATTTAAAGTTTTAAGTTACATATAATCTAAAAATTCAGTGATAGCATTTATAAATCATGAGAAGTCAATCCACAGGGACATATATAGTGCCAGGAGTAGGGTTTGAACTCAGGGCCTAGGCACTGTCCTTTTAGCTTTTTCGCTTAAGGCTGGTAACATCTCCAATTCCTACTTTTCAGTGGTTAATTGGAGATGAGTCTCTTGAGTTTGTCTACTTGGGCTGGTTTTGAATCCCCATCTTCAGATTTTAAGCCTCCTGAGTAGCTAGGAATATAGACGGGCCATTGATGCCTGGCTGAGAATAAATTTCTGAATTATATAGAAAATATGTCATCACACTTTTAAGGTTTCTTCTAATTCTTTAAGTCTGTATTTGCCATTATCTAGATTGTCATTATGTTACTCCACTCTACTAATGAAGCCTTAATTTTCTAAGTAAGAATCCATTTGATGTCTATAATCCGATTTT